TCCGAAGTTGGGCGGGAAAATCGGCTTCGTTTCGTTTTCATCCCGTGGTTGTAGGCATACGATAACCAACCAATATTGAGGTAAGTACAACGTTTACACGGGATTGAAAGCTGTTTCAGAAAAGTAAAAGTGCTAAGGTGAATCATTAAAGCGCAATAAATTAAGTAAGTGCAATATATCACTATGACAGGAATCAGACAACTAACGTTGGCTCAATGACCTCCAGATCTACGCCAATCAGCAGTGGTGTCATCCAGGGGAGTGCATTGGAACCCTTCTTTTCATTATATACATAAACAGTATATGTGAATGTTTTAGTATAGGCAAGCCAATACTGTATGCAGATGACTTAAATGTGACATATACCTGCACAATTACAGATATTGGCACAACTATGGACTCCATACATGAAGAATTAATGAGAATGGATAGATGGTGTAACACCTGGAGACTCGAGTTTAATGTTGAAAAGTGTGGATTGCTCTGCATAGGCTGTTCCAACCTTGAACTCGACCTAGCAATTCAGGGCCACAAAATCCCCAGACTCAAATCTGTACTAGACCTAGGACTGAAACATTCACACAATCTACCATTTTCAGAGCATATCTCGAATCAAGTATCGAAAACACGCAGGCTTATTGGTTTCTTACTCAGGAACTTCTACAGAAACGAATCCAGAATGCTACTGTACAAGGTTTGTGTGCGCCCACTCCTTGATTACTGCTCATTCATATTTAGTAGTACACGCATAGAAGACAAACTGAAAGTAGAAGGAGTACAGAGGTACTTCACGCGAAAAGTACTCGGAACCGATAACGGCACAAACTACTCTACCAGATGTGAAATCCTGGGACTAGAAACATTATGGTTAAGGCGACTGCGACTAAATCTGGTACTCTTCTATAAGCTTCTTAACCAAATAGTGTATACCCCTGCTAATTATACTCGGTCCTCAGATAACACTGGATATAACCTTAGACACACTAAGGCACAGTGGCTATAGAACCATGTAAAACAGCCACCAGGCAAAAGTTTTTCTTGATTAGGTGTGCCCAAATGTGGAACAAACTACCTGAGGAAATGCGACTAGCAAGCACATTGGCCTCCTTTGAAAAGGCACTTAATGACACACTAAGTGAGTTTGTAATTGATACCAATGGTAATTCCCATGTAAGAGTTTCAGAAATCATAGGCCCATTTAATGTATGAACTCAGAGACTACACCTGTTGTTTGTTTTGCCTCTATTTATAATTCCAGACAAAAAAGCAGCAGTCATGACAATAACACCCATTCAACCAAGAGTCGATCAAACTATGTCTACCTGATACAAAGGGCGAACCATAATCAACATACGAATGAAATATGAGAAAACAAGGTCGAAACTTACCGCAACACCACATGAAAAGATAAAAGTTACTTGGATATCATATATAATCCACCAACTGGTCTCCTACCCAAAAATAATGCGGCGATGTTTTATCCAAAAAGGCGAGGAAATACATAAACCCACAGCAGCTGTTGTAAACACTCATTGGAGGTGAAGCCAACAAAGTAATGCAACTAAAGTAAATGTATACTTCCCATGATCACGGTAACTCTCTGCGGAATACGTCAAAATCCAAATCACTGTCTATACAGCACCAAAAACCTGGATATCTATGGTATAACAAAAACATACCCAGAACTGCATCTCAGATCAAGCTGATTCATTCGATGGTAATAATCTGCTCCTGCATGCCCTATTCGACATTTTGAATGGGATGGTTCGCGGTTATTCTGCTTCCAGATCGAAAGGAATAAAAAATTCACCGGTTGCTGAATCAATAGTACTTCTCTGCATGTTTAACTGTATTCTAACTGCTGTGGTGTGCCTTCTGCAGATTATGTTGCTTAAAACAGTTTACGGTAAACTAACTAACGTTTTATAAGCCATTTTTACACTTTTGTGAGTAGCCCACCATATCGACCAAATGTAACGCAACACTCAGTTGTTACGCGCATTTTCGACAAATTCAAACAATAATGGTGCCTTGGATTATATCATATAAATTGTTTTAACTTATACAAAGTGCATTTATTATCATTATTCCATTGTCCTCCCTTGTATATATGTATATATCTTGTGTCACTGAAAGATTTTAAACATGCTTACTCCATGTGTACCTTATTACCATACTGATGATGCCTGTCAGCTGTCATGTGCATCAAATGACAGTATATTATTGTAAGATTCATCTTATTGTTATAATAGGAAATTGACTTCAAGCTTTATTCATTTTCCCAAGTATCTGTAACCCGTCCAACGAATATTTGGGTTTTTTGTTAATGCGAAGTCAATATCTGTTTCATTCATATTTAGTAGGCGGTACGTTCGAAATTGGTGACATTTTTGCACGTGTTTGCTCTGAAATTTATTTACTGCTTATTGTCATATAATTCTTGAAATTATGGTCCAAATCTCTAAAAAACGTGTTCGTAGAAACACAATTGTTTTAGATAGTGGCTTAAATTCGGTTATAACTGCATTACCGCCTCGTAATACAGTATCAACTACTAGCTCTCAAAATGGTTTGAGTGCAGATCTCACTCCTGTGATACAGGTGAAAGATGTTCTGTTAGAGAACTCTGAGTTCTGTAAACTAAACCTCCTTTTGAAAGATATGCAGAGGCAAGTAAGTGAAATTCAGAAAAAATTAGATCAGTTTGATAGTATGTCACTGCCAATCTCAAATACCACGGAGAGCCGTTCTGATATTGGCCAGGTTAAGTGTTTACTGGATGTAACTCAAAATAAGCTTTTGAATTTAGACCCAATAGCCTGTCTTTTAGAAAGGCATCCTAAAATATCTCCAGACAACCTAAATAAAGCTGAAAATCTGATTGACTGCTTGGCTACGGAGGTGATGAAGCGTATAACCTCTTCTCACCAAGCTATAGTTTACAACGTCCCAGACTCTCTGCCCCTGAAAACTGTAAGACACAAAATCCTGATTTGTTGCGGCATGGCTAGTGTTCCATGTGAATGCAAACGACTTCGTAAAAAGTCTAACCAGGCTAATTGCCCAATCATTTTTAAATTCAGTAATTCCCTTGATGCTAGTAAGTTTACTAAATGTCAGGATCACTTAAGACTGAATAGCAGTTATAAGTCTATAACCGTAGCTCAGGATAAAACACCGTGTCAGCGCAGAATAATGCGTAGTAATAACCTGGTCACCTCCTCTAGCTTAGCTTTGATTTACCAAATAAGGATCGTGCACAGCAACAGACACCTAGTGCTGAAACTAGCATTCAGCAAACTACACAACAACCACACCTGCCAATGGAACTAGGAACTGATTTAGATACCAGTACCCCTGTAAACAAAGCCTCATCGAAAGATGTTAAAATGACTAGAACTTCTGCAAGTTGTTCTAAGAAATTTCCCCCCAAACGTAGTAACCTCACCACGATGAACAAATTTCGCAGGGTTGAGACTAATGATGGGGAAGAATACTTTGTATTCAATAAGCCTGCTGAGAGTAAGAATGCCAACAAACCATCACTTGTTACGAAAAACTCCTCTCGAAACATAAGTACATCTGGAGGTGTTCCGCATGCTCCACCTTATAGAAAGTCAGGCTCCAAGACTCCTAAAGTCTTGCAGCCAAAGCACCTTCCTTCACAATTCCCTTTAAGTTATAAAAACAACCCGAAGGTGTATACCGGTATGACGAATAGCAGTTGGATGGGTAGACCTTCTGATGCTATGCCTTTTAACCGCCAACCTAGGCCCAACCTGTACTACCCTTATATCCAGGAACACATGGTAAATTTTCCAGGTGTCCTGAATCACTGGTACGACCCATGGCACCTAGGACCACCTCATTGCACACCAACTCCGATGTGCAGACACCCAGTCCGACCTCCTTTTCATTCATAAATTCTTGCGGTGCTGACGCACAAATAGATTTAGGTTATGGTGACATTTTAAGCCAGTTTGTAGTATCCCGTGACTTATTCACGATATTGCTAATTAATGCACGTTCCTTAATCAATAAGATATCTGAACTAAGGACATTATTATTAGTCGCCAAGCCTACTGTAGCTCTGATTACTGAGTCATGGTGCTCATCCTCTGTACTTGATGTGCATATAGGTATCGATGATTACACTGTACACCGTGCAAACAGAGATTGCAAGCGTGGTGGAGGATGTCTCATATATATACATAACTCATTTGTAGTCAGTAAGGTGGAAGATGAAACAATGAATAATGTACCTGACTCACTCTGGGTTGTCTTACATGGAGATAAGTACAAACTTCTCATAGGCTGTGTTTATCGAGCACCAAGCGCAACAAAAGAAACTGATGCGTTATTAGCTAAATCGTTTGCACATGCATCCTCGTTTAGTGCTAATTACAAAATAATTGCAGGGGACTTCAATCTTCCAGAAGTCAATTGGCTAACTAGTTCCGGCCCCCAACGCTTCGACGAATTACTTGCCACTATAGACTGTTATGGATGGCAACAACACGTCCAGACACCTACTCGTGGTGACAACATGTTGGACCTTGTTTTTTGTCATGACACAATCCCAGTATCCACTTATGTTGGTAATCGATTTTCCAGTAGTGACCATAGAATGGTACTCTGCTCTCTGCCTTTCTCACCACTAAATACAGGAAACAAACAAGACTCAGGAAGCACAATATGTCGTAGTTACAAATATACAGACTGGGGATTAGTCCAAGAACTTATTCGACTCTGTCAATGGGATGACTATTTTACCACTGACTCCCTGGAGGCCTTAGTAACCCTGTTTTACAGGAATGTTACCCTTTGTCTAGATACAGTTGCTCCAAAGAAAATAGTGAAATTAAGTAGACACCGAACTGAATATATTCCAAGGGCACACCGTAATAAGTTAAGGAAACTGAAGAAACAGTACTATTCCACTAAGGACATATCACTATTGCTCTCAATCCACGAGTCTCTTGAATCTATCAAGCGCCTACGCTCTCAAAAGGACCTCGACGAAGAGTTAACGGCACTTGAAAGTACCTCCAAAGTTTATAACTTAACGGCACTTCTTAAAAAACGAATGCAGTCGGCGAGGGAAATCCCATACTTACTTCACGACAAAGTAATCTACAATGAACCTGCCACTATCTGTGAACTTTCAGTGATTGGTTTGCAAACTTTAGTTTAGAAACACATATGCCTGGTGAAACCGCTCCCCTTACTATCTCTTCCCTTGAAAGCATTGTGTTCACTAATCAGTTAATAGTACAAGCAATTAAAAGCCTTAAACCTTCCACTAGTACGGGACCGGATGGCCTCGCTTCGATAATTTTCAAAAACAGTGGGTGTGATATACCCCTGTTACTTCTTAAATTCTTCTCAATATCTATGGACACTGGCACTTACCCTAGTGAGTGGAAAACTAGCTTCATAATTCCACATTACAAATCTGGTGATAGGGCAAACGTCCGCAATTACAGACCCATAAATATAACCCCAGTTATCTCACGAATCATGGAGAAAGTTGTAAAGGATCAATTGTCAGACTACCTAATTAGGGAGGATCTTGTTACAAGGTCTCAACACGGATTTCTCAAAAATAGATCCTGCGTTACTTGCCACTTCGACTTTTTCAACTGCATCACTAGTAGTCGCGAAGCACGTAAGCTAGTCGTTGTTCTATACTTCGATATATCTAGGGCATTTGACATGGTATCTCACAGTATTCTCTTTGAGAAGCTGTACTCTTGTGGAATTCGCAACCCATTACTGAACTGGTTAAAATCATTTCTAAGCAACAGGGTACAAATAACCAAAGTTGGATCTGTATTGTCTCATCCTAGGCAGATCTCAAGTGGGGTCGTGCAAGGTAGTGTCCTAGGTCCACTTTTATTCACAGTTTACATTAACAGCATTTGCAAGTGCTTCACCTCAGGTAAACCATTCCTATATGCTGACGACCTCAAAGTCGTCTACTCCTGCTACACTCATGAATTAAGCGATATGGTAAATAAAATACATCTTGAACTAAGTAGCCTTGCAACGTGGTGTGCTGAATCCTGTCTAAATTTTAACATTGACAAATGCGGCTGGATTTGTATCGGCAACAGTAAGCTTGATCTAAACCTTGAAATAAATGGGCGAAAACTAGCTAAGCTCAATTCAGTCGTAGATCTCGGTATTAGATACTCTAGTAACCTAACGTTCGCTGAACAGACTGATTATGCCAGACGTAAAACGCGAAGGCTGATAGGATGCATAACACGCAATTTCTTTTGTTGTGAAACTAGGGTTTTATTATACAAAGTATGTGTCCGACCTATCTTAGAATACTGCCCGTTTATTCTTAGCGGACTAAGACAAAATGACAAGCTTAAATTAGAGGGAGTGCAACGGCAGTTTACCTCAAGAACTCTTGGTTTAGAAAGTGGTCTGGAATACCATGAGAGATGCGTAAGACTAAGATTAGAACCCCTCTGGAAAAGACGCCTTAAGCTAAACCTTATCTTTTACTATAAGCTAACTAATCTTCTCTTGCATTCCTCCGAGCCAATAACTAAACCTACCGCTGTCGTCAGTTACAATCTTAGAAATCATCACAACCTAGCTGCTATGGAGCACTGTCAGACTTACGTGCGGTACAACTTCTTCTTAAATAAGTTTTCAGTCATTTGGAATAGACTACCAGCTAATGTGCGCGATGCAAACACACTTCCAGTGTTCATCTCCTCAGTCACCAGACTGCTCAAAGATGACAATGCACTTATACGTCTGACTCTTACACCCTCTTTTTCACCCTACATAGATATTTTAAGTTCTTTAAACGTGTAGTTACAGCAAACTACAATTATAAATTTTAATATTATTGGAACTAGATGATTAACATTTCTACACAGGACAGTAATATTAGTTCACACATAATATAAAAGTTAGCATAACGGGACTAGTTAGTTTGTGTACCAAAATAACCACAGTTACTAAACAGAATATATATGTATATATTTATTAATCACTCCTTAAGGACTCCCGTTGCTTTCTTTTGCGTTGCTGTTGTTTGTCTTCTTTTTTCTCTCACCATTTCAGCTTCCATTTGACTTTTTGAATGAGAATGAATAATGTGGATATTTGACCATTTACAATGACAAATGATCTGCAAACATTATTGGTCCCGTATCTTTCAGTTGCCTGGTTAATAACGAATTAACTTTCTCCACGACGCAACCTGGATTACATTTGTGGAATATACTCTTATACCAATGGAAAAACTTATAACATAACTGATCGTATCTGTAAAAATAGCTTCCTTATTACCCAATTTGGATATAAATCAAATCAAAAATGAGATTCGGATTTGTACACACCCAGGTTATATTGAGGAATTACTTCAAGCTTTATTTTTTCCCAAGTATTTTTAATCCATCCAAAACTTACTTGGGTTTTTTTGTTAATGCGAAGTCAATATTCCTATATTTCATGATGTGCTCCATTGAATGACTGGTTATCATATTGTTCCAACAGACCTAAAAAAATGGCATGCATTTTCATGTAAATTTATATGTTTATATGAGAATATACATTATTATAATTATTATTAAAACAAAAACGCCAGCAACCATGTAACTTAACCATAAACCGAATTTATGAAATTTAATTAATGCTTATCCATGCCTGTATATTTGGTGTGTCCTACACAAGTAGGGAAAAATGTGTACTTTATTAAAACATTATTATTAATTATGATTGCTAATCGTATATGTAATTTATCATATTGATGATGCCTGTAAACTGGCGTCTCTCATGTACAAAATGAGAATATACTATTATTATTATTATCTCTATATCTCTTGATGTGGTTCATTGAATCACAAGTTATCAGATTTTTTCCACAAACTACAAAACGACAGCAGCCGTAAATAATGTAATTTAAACAATATTTATGCATGTGTAGTGCACATTGTATCCTTGAACTTTTGTTTAAATTCGCTCACCCATGTTTGACACACTTTTATCTTTTGAGTTGTGACTCTTCCGTACGTTCATTGGTTCGCTCTCTCGTTGTGATTTCACTCTGCACACTCTCCGAGCTTACCCCCATTGGCGTCTGCAGATAAGTTGTACGACCTCTTTATTGAATTTCATATTTTGTTGTGTAAAATACAATTGTCCTAGATACACTTGTCATACCAAGTCTTTTTACCTTGATTCGGTTCGTCAGTATTTGCACGTTGGATAGCGTACAGCTAAGGTCGTAAAACGGTGAAGAAGTTTTGTAAGAGTGTTTAGAGTTGAGGTCTACCCTAAGCCTTAATAGTTCTCACAAGTGGTGAGCCCGTATATTCATCGTTTGCCTAGATTTTAGATTGACGTGTTTTTAGTTCTTTTTCATATTGCCTACCCTTTTTGTATATATTTTCACATAGAGTTATAAATTCGTATTCGTTTTTTTTCACGTATATTTGTCGTATTACCCCGTTAGTATATCCTTCTGTCCGCAAAATGGCTGATAACAGTGCTTCGCAAATGGCTATAACCGTGCAACTTCCCACCTTTGGGACACATCGTCCTGTTGCATGGTCAAACCATGTAGAAGCTATGTTCACTCTCAAACATATACACTCACAGGAAACGAAAGTAAACCGGGTAATTGTGAGTCTCCCTGAAAATGTTATGGAAGAGGTTTCAGACTTCCTCATGGATCGGTCCCCTGACTTGTATGAGCGGCCGAAGCAAGCGCTAATTAAGCGCGTTGCACTCACAGACCAACAAAAAGTGCAGGAACTCTTTCGTGATGTTCACCTTGGCGACCTGAAGCCCACTCAGTTGTTACGACAGATGAGACAGTTGGTCGCCAACTTCAATGTAGATGATGCCTTCCTTAGACAACTGTGGTTGCAAAGATTACCACAGGCGATTCAGGGCATTTTAGCCCCAATCCACAAATCCCCCTTAGCCGAGTTAGCCGAAGCGGCCAATAGGGTAGTACAGACTACTGCATCCAACCTTAGCATTTCGGCCGCGGCCACTGATAGGCCCGCTCAGATCAAAGAATCTCCGACTGGAGAGTCATCCAGCTTGGATACGGTGGCCTATATAACCAAACTGTACGAAGAGATATGTAGTATCAGACAGGAGATGAGAGCGAGCAGCCGCTCGGGTAGCCGCACAGACTCAACTCGTAGTAGATCATCGTCACGTGCCAGGAGTCGGCGTCGTGGGTCTCGAAACTCTCAGCCTGGAGTGTGCTGATATCATCGGCGTTATGGTGAAAAAGCCCAAAAAGGCACTCGCCCGTGCACCTTCGATGTCCAAAAGTGGGGAAACTAGCAGGCCAGCACGTGTTGGCGACTAACGTTGCTGGCGAACCACTGCCATGTCGCCTCTTCTACGTCACAGAACGTAGCACGGAGATACGCCTCCTCATTGATACCGGAGCAGAGGTCAGTGTCATCCCACCCACCATAGAGGAGCGCAGGGGGCCAATGATCTTATAACCACGTGCCGCAATTGGTTCGCCGATAGCCACGTTTGGCAGGCGCCTTCTTGACCTGAACATTGGCTTGCGCCGAGCATTCCGCTGGGTCTTTCTGGTGGCGGACGTGACCACAGGTATCATCGGTATGGATCTGCTACAGCATTACCAACTAATCATAGATACAGGTTAGCACAGGTTGATAGATTCAGCCACCAATCTCTCGATTAACTGTATCGCCACCGAGTGCCCAGCCCTCAGCCCTGTATATGCTGCACCCACTAGTACTGGTCCTTATTTGCAATCTTTTTCGGATTTGTTCAAACCTAGCAGCGGCCTGCCACGTGCGACTTCCAACGTCATACACCATATTGTCACTACCGGTCCGCCAGTTTTCGCAAAGCCGAGACGACTATCCCCAGAAAAACGAAAGGTTGTTAAAGCGGAGTTCGAGCATATGCTAGAAATGGGGATTATTAGGCGATCCAGCAGCCCGTGGTCCTCACCGTTGCACCTGGTACCTAAGAATAACGGTTTAGATTGGCATCCTTGAGGTGATTACCGCAGACTAAACGCACAAACTGTTCCCGATAGCTACCCTGTCCCTCACATACACGATTTAACCGCCTCACTCAAGGGAGCCCGAGTATTCAGCAAACTGGACCTGACACGAGCTTATTACCAGATCCCCATCGACCCCGTGGATATACACAAGACGACCGTGATTAAGCCGTTCGGCCTGTTCAAATTTCTTCGAATGCCTTTCGGCTTACGGAACGCTGCCCAAACCTTCCAGCGTTTTATCCATGACGTTTTGCACGGGCTTGATTTTGCCTTTGCCCATCTGGACGATATTTTGGTAGCTAGTCCAGATGAAGCCACTCATCAACTTCATTTGCAGACAGTTTTCCGAAGACTCGTAACACACTCCCTCACACTCAACTTGCGAAGTGTCCGACTGGAGTCACTTCCTTGAATTTTTCGGGACATAGGATAGACAAAGATGGAATTTATTCGTTATCTGATCCGGTAGAGGCTATTCAAAACTTCCCTCTACCCACTTCTCCCAAGGCACTACGGACTTTTCTCGGGATGGTTAGTTACTACCGTCGCTTTATCCCACAGTGCGCCCACATCGTCAACCCCTTGACTGATATGCTTGAAGGGAAATGCAAGTCTTTGGTGTTCACTAAGGAAGCCTCGACAGCTTTCGCAGCTATCAAGAAAGCTATTGCTGACGCCACAATGTTGGTCCATCTAAATGTCCAACTCCCAGTCGGCATCTCCGTAGATGCCTCTAATACTGCGATCGGAGCCGTCCTACAACAGCGTATGTCCAATGCATGGCTGCCGATTGCTTTCTTTTCACGTAAACTTACCGCATGCGAATCTCGATACAGCACCTTCGGTAGGGAACTTCTCGCTGTCTATGCTGCCGTCAAGCACTTTCGTCACTTTGTGGAAGGCCGGCAATTTACGATATTTACCGACCATAAGCCATTGACGTACGCCCTTCACACCACTTCACACCTGTATTCACCGCGAGAATCACGCCATTTAGACTATATTTCTCAGTTCACTTCCGATATCCAGCACGTTTCTGGATCGGATAACGCGGTAGCAGACGCTTTGTCTCGCGTATAAGCTACGTCGGTACCACCAACCATCGATCTTCATAAAATGGCCGAACTCCAACTGAAGTATTTGAACTTAGAACACCCGCCAAATAAAACCTCTCTGAAGACAGAACGTGTACCATTGCTAAACAGTGAAACAACTATACTTTGCGATATGTCAACGGGCACTCCTCGGCCGAGTGTCCCCACGTCTTTACGCCACACCGTGTTTGAGTCCCTCCACAACCTCTCCCATCCTGGCATACGAGAAACGGAAAAGTTGATATCGGCGAGATTTGCGTGGCCCGGTATGAACCGTGATGTGGGTCAATGGACACGTGCTTGTGTGCAATGCCAACGTG